TTCTCATTTTCAACCACACATTCTTCAATAAAATAATATTTTCCATCACATCAATACTTTTTTCTTCTTTTTCAACCACACATTTCCCATCATATCACTATTCAAAAATCAATTTTTCTCCTAAAAATCCCTACCAAACACACTCTAAATGTTTTTCTAGTAGATTTTTATTTTATTTTATGAATGCATAATTCTTGAAATGGTTTTTGTAAAGAATTGAGCTTCCATCTTAAAAGGTCAACCTTATTAAGAGAAGTAGCCCAAAATTTTTATTAATTAATCTGTGTCAACATCATTTATCGATGTGGGATATATATCCCTTAACACGCCCTCGCAAGATGGTGGCTCATTTGAGCAGACCAATCTTGAAATCCACGTGCTCATTTTAGAGTCTTAACGGGATCGAATCGCTCGTTAAAGCATAATGGACTCGATACCATGTAAAGAATTGTGGTTCCATCTTAAAAGGTTAATTTTATTAAAAGCAGTAGCCCAAAATCTTTATTAATTGGTCTGTGTCAACATCATTTAACGATGTGCGATATACATCCCTTAACAGTTTCTTCCTCCTCGCAAATTAATAAATCTTGAAAATGTCTTTCAGATTTTGGTAATTTTCACATGAAACTTACCTTTCAATTTTTCATCAAAATCCTTGTAAGAGAAAATGCCTACTTCTTCGAGAGTTTTTAATCATGGCAATTATTAGTGTATATAGATTTGACCCCACGATTTTAGGCTATGATCATGGATCAAAGTTTCCAACAATTGCTCCCCCAATTTGTCTAAGCATTTTAGCATTTTTTAGTAAATGAAAATAATTAATTTAGCCTTGATGGTTGGACCTCATTACGAATTTCTGACTATGGGTTCGTGTAATTTGCATGACGTTGTGAACGTTGTGAGAAAATTAAATTTTTCTCAAGAAATTGAAAAATAATTAAATTTCTGAGTGTAACTCAAAGCCATAATATTAACGTGATTTGGACACGAATTGAATATGTTATATTCTAATAGATCGAAGATTTTGGACAAACTTATATAAATTAAATTGTCAAGCTTTTTGTTGTAGTACACTTGCCTCAAACTTCGTGACTATGGTTAGGCTAGAATGAGCATTGAATGATAATTAAGATGCATTCATGCCACCTCATATATAATGGGTCGAGCCTTCAAAGCAACTATTGTATTATGGCTACAAGTTGCAATAATAGTGTTGAGAATATGATGTCAGCCTTATCGAAGGACTCTCCCGATTAAATAAAAAAGAGTTAAGCCAAATGTACAGAAAATGGGTTTACAGAACTTCTACCACCTCTTACATGAGGTGGGTCCCATGTGGGACTGAGCTCATTAAAAAATGAATAAAAAATTTGCCAACCCTACGTCCTGTGAGTGATCTGTGGGGATTCTGTGAACCCCCACCTCTGTAAACCAAGCTCGATTCAATAAAAATATGTAATCGAGCAAATATCCTGATAACCATTTGAACTAGCACCAAAGGCTTAATTGACCTCTAGGCCTTCGATTGACTCTGGATAGGATGCCCTTATAAGGTATAGGGAAGGAGTTTAGATTTGACAAATTCTTTTTGATAAGTGTTCATATAAATATCGTCTTCGAACACAATACTTAAATGGCATATTAGGTTTACTTTTATTTAAACTGTCTATCAAAATTAAGTATTTTTGTTTATTGACGAAGAAATGGATAAGAATAAACATTCACGTCTAGTTTTATAACATGTTTTGGATTTTAAAACTAACTATTTATCTTTTGGCATATGGTCAATTGCTTTA